TGTATACAGGCAGTCCCCGGGTTACGTACAAGATAGGGACTGTAGGTTTGTTCTTAAGTTGAATCTGTATGTAAGTCAGAACTGGCATCCAGATTCAGCCGCTGAATCTGGACACCAGTTCTGACTTACATACAGATTCAACTTAAGAACAAACCTACAGTCCCTATCTTGTACGTAACCCGGGGACTGCCTGTATTTGCCCTTTAAATTCTTCTTTGTCACACTTCATACCCTTTTTTGTAACTGCACAATTAATTATGTGTGCCAGATGGTCTTTTTTTTTAGCATGGATTATTTAGCACCTGATCCAATTCCCAATGGAGTCACTGGAGTGAAGTCCATTACATTTAGTGAGAATTGTATCAGACCTTTTTCCTTCATGGCCACTATTGTTTTTCCACAGGGCTCTCTTTTTTTTAACATGTATGAGGCCTGCCCACTGCCTTGCACCTTGTCTAGTCATTTACACCTGTTCCAAGTGGGTGGTTAAGCACTGTCATTCTGATTTGGTAGCCTTTTACACCCACTTTGCGCTCACTCAGCACAGATATAAATGTGGGTTATATCTTGCAAGCTCCGAGGCAGTGGTGAATGTGGCCCAAAATAGTTTACATCACATACAATGTGCAGTGTCTTAGATTTACTAAGCATGAAATTCAGACTCTAAAGAATGGAGATTTGATTTACTAAGGTTGATTTACTTAGCATGAAATTCAGACTAAAGAAAGGAAAGAAACAGTTTTGTTTCTTCAAGTTATATCCAATTTGGATACTTTACAGCCTCTGTGTCACAACTGTAGTCAGGGCTGAAATGTTGGATATGTTGGTTGTGTTTAATGATGTTATTGAACTAATTCCTAAAAATATGTTACTTCTCAGTTATGTTTATTAACAACTGGTTTGTAAGTAGCAACACTTATTAAAGGAATCATTTCAGGTTTTTGGTTTGAGATCTTCTGTATTAACATTTGATTTTTTTTTTCTGAGATCTCTTCAATTTTCTGCCTTTGCATTTTCATTGCTAGAGCTCTTTGTACTTCACTGCTAATTAACTTTCAATAACTGTCTTACGGTTACAGTCACTCAGTATGAATCAGAAGTAAAATGTAGTTTTAGGGGACCACATTCTGTCAAAAACAATTAGAAACCTTTTCAAGGAGAACACATGCAATCAAGCAACATACAATATCTATTAGAAAGTGTTGTACAACACTAAATATTCCTTGATTAAAAAGGTTATGGTGGTACCTGCTACAGTTTAGAATGTTATATGTCATCATTTCCTATTTGAAATTCTTATGTTCAGAGTGCTTGACCTCAGTTGCAATGTTGCCCCTGGGCTAAAACTTGGTGCTCAAGCTTAAAGGCAAATGATTATTTAAAAATATTTTTCTTTGCAAATATGATATGAAAAAAGAGGGAAGGGAATTATTTACTGGTTTCAGCCATACTAGCTGAAGATGTTCCCTCACCATACTGTATAAATGGGACTGAGCAGGACTAATATATAGTTGGGAGACAGAGAAAATATAAGTGATGCAGGCAATGCTGTTGATGATTCAGTAGTCTTTTGGCCAATACTGAGCCAAATAATGCATCAGTGTAGGAAGACTTTGTGCTCTCTTTTTGATAAGATATGAAATCAGGCTATGGCATCAGGAGTTCATATACCACAGTGATAGGTATGGTAAAAGTAACTAGAAAGTTAGACTACCTGTGACGACAAATTTCTGTTGCACATTTTGTAGTAATCTGAAATCTTGGACACATTCTAGTTTTGGCCATTCTTTTCTGATTGAATATACTCCCTGTATATTTCCAGTTAGATACACTTCCATTCCTTAACTGTTCTGTGGTGTGCTGTGTGTTAATAATAGCAGAAAGCTGCCCTTTCCGTGATGGGTAGAGAGGATTCTAAAGCATGTATAAACCCAGAGCAGTGCTGTTCAGTGAGTCTCCTGTCCTTCCTTGCTTCTCATGGTTTTCCCAAGTTGCAGGTTCACTGCTTCTTTTCAGAATCCTCTTGGCCAGATGAAGATAAGATTGTTACCTTGGACACTGCTGTTATATGATCCTCTGAAGCAATTGGGGGTCCTACAATAGTCCTTGATGGGAAGTGCAACAAACAGTAGGCACACACCCTAGCAAGTGTAGCATCAATTTTAGTATCTGGTTCACTCTCTGTCAGGGATGTGCAGCAGTTGGACACAATGGCTGAGTCTAGACTGGCAAGTTCTTCCGCAAAAGCAATTGCTTTTGCGGAAAAACTTGCCAGCTGTCTACACTGGCCGCTTGAATTTCTGCAAGAACACTGACGATCTCATGTAAGATCGTCACTGTTCTTGCGGAAATACTGTGCTGCTCCCGTTCGGGCAAAAGCCCTCTTGTACAAATCATTTGCGCAAGAGGGCCAGTGTAAACAGCACAGTACTGTTTTCTGCAAAAAAGCCCCGATCGCGAAAATGGCGATCCGGGCTTTTTTGCGGAAAACCGCATCTAGATTGGCCACAGACGCTTTTCTGCAAAAAGTGCTTTTGCGGAAAAGCATCATGCCAATCTAGATGTGCTTTTCCGAAAATGCTTTTAATGAAAACTTTTCCGTTAAAAGCATTTTCGGAAAATCATGCCAGTGTAGACGTAGCCAATGAGTTTTTCCCCCACCTATAATATTGTGTTTCATGGCCTCCATGGAATAGAGACTCCTTGGAATAAAATCATCATATGCAATGCTTCCATGCAACTGTTTGAAAAGTTAATACAATTTGTGGTGTAACACTCCATTTTAACGCTCCCTCAAAGATCATAGCCACGCTGCCAGTGTCCCTTCTTGACCTTTTGGATAAGATCCCTAATTTGGGATGTTCAGACTATGTAATATATGCATTTTATGACTTTTTAAACCAAACTTGATACTTTTGGATAATTTAAACACTATACCCAGATGAACAGAAACTTTTTCAATAACATGTTTCAGATAATTTTAATATAAACGTTCATAACATTTAAAAATCTGAAATATTCTCTGTTGTGAGGTTGTTGAAGAGTATAAACTCCCTTTGCAGGATGGTTTCAATAAGTCTGTTCCATTCCCAACTACTGTAATTCAATGATTTATTAAAGTGTATTTTACAGCCTATTGCTTCGTTCTTAAAAGCTATCAGAGGTTTCTATTCTCAACACACAATTGAAATCTCTACTCAGAGTCCAGATGAATAAGGGGTCTTTCTCAGATCTCTTCCTCTTTTCCCCCCCCTTCCACCTTTTCTCTTTTGACATTAATTAATGGTATAATTTGTTTGCATTTACAGAATGTTTTATCTTTTTGGCTGGAGGTTTGTTAGATCTACACTAATTCTCTTTTTCTCAGGGCTGGCAGGTGGGTGTTGGATTGCGTGTCATTCGTAGGAGGTGAACGTCAAAGGAAATGGGATTGACTATGAGAGGAAATTTGTAACCCAAGTACTTAATATTTGCCTTCCTAGAAAAGCAAGAGAAAATGGCAAAACAAGCAGCTTTTCTGCTTTCAGCTTGCCCCATGTAATAGTAATAGCTCAGTATCTGTATGTACTTAAGCACAATTCTGTCTTTGCCTTAGTTTATTTGGAACTGAGAGCTACTTTATTTCCCTTTAAACAGCATCACATCCTTTGGTGTATTCTGTTGAATGTTTATTCTGACAATACAAATCATTCATGTTCTGTAAGTGCCCTTGCAAATAATACAGTTTATATCCAGGTACACTATGGTGTCTTTTTAGATTTGATCTAAATGAGCTCTCAGAGTTAAAAATAGGCAAAATGAGCCATTTCGCACCATTTTGTGTTAATATCTAACTGCCGTTTCAGAGTGCATTAGTTTGAAATATTTTCAGGCAAAATATAGTGTTATTTTTTTGTGGGAGAAAAATGATCTACATGAAAATAGGTAAAGATACTTATTGGTACAGCAGTTTTTATGCTAATTTCTATGCTTTACTTGACATATATGTGGGGCAGATTTTGTGCTCTTAATAGGAATATTTACTACTTCTAAACTGTAAGTACTTTAGATATCTTTCATAATGCATGTTGAGGTTCAATTTGGAACTGAACAATATAAATTATTTTTGAAAGGTTAATAAAGTGTTGCTTTTTACTGATTAGGCCAATGGACCATGTTATTTGCACTCTTACACTCTGTGTTTTTTCACTTTACTCTTTGCATATTTAACCAGAGTATCAATTACTTACATTCAGGCCATCTTCACATTTGAAAAATATGTCAAATTGTCTGGTTTCCAATTATACCATAGGTAGGAGCTGGGGAGCGTTTGGCTGTCATCTCATAGTATATATCAAGTGAAAGGGGGAAGCAATCTGAAGTTTAAGTAGGCTGATGTGGATGTCCCCTTTACTTTTTGCTTGGCTTCAGATTTGTACAGATCTCCTGGGACCTGATCCCACATTGATAGCAACACCCACATTTTCTTTTTATCTCGAGTATGGGGTAGGCCTCTGCTAATACTGGGAACACTGTGAATCTGATTCTGATCTTCTGTATCCTTATGTCATTCATTGGAATTATTCCTGCTTTAAATAGCAATGAGTAAGGTCAGAATTAGGCCAGTGTTTTCTAAATCATCTTAGTAGTAGTAGACCATTAAAATATACCTGATTTATTCTTACTATGTCAAATTTTAGCTTTTTCTGTGACATACAAGCAATATTCTAAATCTTACTGTATTCCTTCCATGTATCAGATACAGAACTGAGGCAGAATGTTTGGACCCAGAACCTTATTATTTACCATATTCATCTTTCACTGATGAAAATATCATAGTCTTCATTGTGTCAGTCATTAGAGAGAAGCCGTAATGGGACCCAGGTGAATTTCTTAAGATCCCCATCTAAAGGTAAGAGCCAAAGGAGACAAGACAGTCATGACAATCCATCAGCCACTCTACATGAGAAACCTCATGGCAGTTCCACATCATTTATACACAGTACCCTGAAAAGTCATTGATTGCCTCTCAAAAAAATACCTTTCATAGTTTGGTATCCATTTCCCATATGTGCCTACACAAGACAAAGTGTCAGAAGTGCACTGATCTATTGATTAATAGGGGTATGTCTACGCATCAAAGTTAATTTGGAATAACAGCTGTTATTCCAAATTAACTTCCATAGCGTCTACACAAGCAAACTGCTATTTCGAATTAAATTCGAAATAGCGGGGCGCTTAATTTGAGTTAAACCTCATTCTACGAGGAATAATGCCTAACTCGAATTAGCTAATTTGGAATAAGCGCTGTGTAGATACTTATTCTGAAATAGGGGGCCTCCAGCCTTCCCAGTTTTCCCTGGTGCCCACTCTGGGCCAAACCAGGAAAACTCTTCTCCCTTCCCCCAGTCCTGGAGCCCTTAAAGGGGCAGACTCTGGCCACAGTGCCTGTGCCAGCGCCAAGCCTGCCAGCCCAGAGCCAGCAGTCACTGCCTCGACCCAGTGGCCCCAAAACATGAGCCAGCAAGCCACTGGCAGCCAACCCTCCACTGCGACTCAGGAGCAGTCTTTCAGCTCCCAGGAGCCTGCCAGGGCCCAGAGAAGGCGGGCGCCTTCCTAGTCTAGGGCAGAGATCAGGGTGGACCGTACTCAGGTTTGGGGGGATGCCCCCAACATCCATGATCTCTGCACTAGACAGAGGAATGTAGTTGTCTATGGAGCAAAGCTGCCAGCCTGGCCACCAAAGGCCACATGCGAATCCAGGAGCAGGTTTGCATGAAAATCAAGTTGGTCCGGCAAGACCCCCAACCCTGAGCTTCTCCTCCCTCTTCCTCCTCTTGCCTCCCCATTCCAGCTCCCTCCTCCCAGGTTTCCCCCTTCCCTCTCCCATCCTCATTCCCACCCCAGTTTCGGTCAGGGGATAAAATGGTGTCAGGGGATAAAATGGTGTCCTTGGCCTCTGTCAGAGGGATGGCAGGAGACCAATCGCTTGATCATTGTCTTCAGTCCATCCTCTCTGGGGCACCTGGTGCTGGCCACTGTCGGCAGACAGGATACTGGGCTAGATGGACCTTTGGTCTGACCCAGTACGGCCATTCTTATGTTCTTAATAAAGAGAGTTTGTTTTTGGCAAGAAATGTGTTTTTATTTGACATCAGGAAGGGGGGTTAGGGAGGGATAAGTGGAAGGAGGGAGGAATGAAGCATAAGCCCCCAGTGGGGCACACCAGGGAGGCTCTTCCAGGGAGGCTGTTAGTGCTCCTCAGAGTGGAAGCTCTCCTGCAGGGCCTCCTGGATACGGACAGCCCCCCAATGGACCTCCGGGATGGCAGCCTGCAGAAAGTACAGCCAGGCTCGCAAAAACACGTCCATGAGAAGCATCAGAGTACCCAGGGGCAGCTCCGGCTCTGTGTTGCAGAGTGCTGTGGTGTCCCGAATGAGAGCAACAAAAGCACGGAGAGTCACAAATGCTTTGCTGTCCCTCATCGAGGCAGGCAAGCAAGCAGAGACACCTGAGAACTGTCTGCCTGGGGGACGGGAAGGGTGTTCCTTTAAGCACAGGCATCAGCCTCAGATAGCAGCCACACACACAGACTCCTGACCTGGTTCTGGCTTGCCTTATTCTGTGTCCAGTCAGTGGGGATGCAGTATTTCAAATTGGCAAAATGCTAATTCGAACTGCATTTTGTGTGTAGACGTGTTAATTCGAATTAGCTTAATTTGGATTAATTATTTCGAATTAAGATAACTCGAATTAACACTGTAGTGTAGACATACCCTAGGTCTGCTATATTAATACAGGCCATTTTAAACTGTAAAAAAACACTTGGAAAAACGTCTGAAAGTCCTTCAAAGTCTCTTTAAACAAGAGTGCACATAAGAAAACTAATTTCTTTCTTTGCACTTTGAATGGATTGATTTATGAAGTGCCCAACCTAGCCACATTATGTGAGGTACTGTGCAATCTTTGAGCAGATGGTTAAATGAGAACGTGGTGCAGTACTTAGGGAAAAAAACATACCCTCCAGTAAAACAAGGCAAGAGAGACAGATCACAGAAAGTGGACTGGATCTCAGAAGAAGCTATGATCCTTCAAAAAGCTAATGAA